AGACAACGCCTTGAGAGCTCGGGAAAGGAACTGGTCTCGACTGCCGAAATCGCTCGGCTTATATACCACGGAGCGGCCTATGGTCCGTCCGGGGTCGGTGTGCGGTACGCGCTTGTTTGTGCGCTGTATCACGCACCTGTGCCGTGTCGCACGGGCACAGATCTTCTTCGGTTCACGTGCGTTCTTACATGCTATATTTCCGCGGCTCGAATTAAAGATCGGTACGCGGGACGGTCGGAACTATAGGAAGGAAGGTTGGCGGAATTATGGTAGGCGCGTGTGGTGATGATAAATTAATATATTTAAAAAAACAAGTACTAGATACACATAATACTGATAATGTTTACTTAATAAGAAAAACAAAAGAAAAAGTAAGATTAAATATAACGGAAAACAAAAAGAAGAAGTAATATAGATGTGGCGGAGCTTGTTTTGTCACAGTTATATCTTTTTTATCTTATTTATATACGGTTTGCCCTATTTATTTTTTAATGTTTCGATTTTTACATATATATATATATATATTTAATTGTATACACAATACTCTATATAGATATAATAGAATAAAATAATAATATATAAACCGCTCGTGTTGTAATGATGTCATCATTTGACTATTTACTTCTGACATTTTATTATTTGACTTCAACATACATTCTATATATAAGGTACGTTACCTGCCTATCTATGACACCATGACATCTGGTTTATNATCATTTCTTTAATTGTAAATTGCGACTGATGAAGACAGCTGTGNATGTCGAAACGTTTCGCATGTAATATATCATAATAATGAATAATTAATATATTTTATCTCACTAACTTATTTCATGCTCGATATTGACCTTAATTTTATCCTGTTTTGTAAAATAATAATATAATAGAATTATATTTATTTAGTGGCTACATATAAATATTCATGTTAAATATATATTTTTTAAACGAGATTTTTACAATATACGTTCCTTCTATATACCGGAGACATTAATAGATCCATCTACTAAACATATATATACATTGTGACGTTTTTTTGATGTTAGAACGTAATTCTCGCGCCGCTTTTTCGCAAACAAAGTTTTTTTTACGGGACTCAGGTGAGCGTCCGCGAGAAGGCAACGTCGAATCACGGGCAGGATTAAAAAGATATTCAAAACGAGCACCGCCGGGCCGATTCGACTAATACTTGGGTGTAATGTAGGGCGCCAGATACGTTTCCGTATCGAAATCGGCGTTGTCCGGCATCGCGGGCCGACTAGCTCACTTTTGAGACGGAGAGGGACTGGGTTTAATAAAAATTTGTAATGCATGCGGTCTCTTACTCTCGCAATATGAAGGCTCAGATAATAAAAAAAAATCAGAGTTAAACAGAGTGAATGAACAATTTATTGTACGGGTAGAAGTTAGTCAGCTCAGAAAAATTAGGATACAAAATAATATTAAAAAAATAATATACGGAATAATATAGAGGAAAGAATATAAAGAATAATATAAAACAAATATAATACGAAACAGTAGAAGAAAAAATATATAGAGAAAAATACGGGCAGATAATAAAGTCGTATAAGAGAAACGATATGGGACCAACAACGTGTTGCAACACGGCACAAACCAAATCACGCTAACGAACAAGATAAATGACTTTATCGGAACGATATCGCAAAAGTGCTGAACGGAGGATTTTAATAATTACCTTCGGCTGGAAGATTGCAGTTACAGGTGCGAGAACATAGCAATAGTAAGGCGCAAAGCTAGACGCAGGCTAAGCAGGCGAGAGGGTGCAAGGTATGCATTGCAAGCAACAAGCAAGGATAAATTAGTGTCCAGCAGATTCTTTATAAGCCGCAATTCCACGTGGATTTGCTTGTCTCACCGGCCTTCGCAATTTGATCCAACTGATGGACTCGCCTTGAAGTTTTTGCCAGTGTTCAATTCCAAGTCCGCAGAACATTCGGGATCAAGCGGTCAGCTAGTTTTTCATGCACTCAACCAATGGTCGCAGGAGCGAAGCGGGTGCGCCGTCGGAAGGTTCGATTTTGTTTTTTATTATTACAGAAGGATTAACGACACGCGCTCTCGGCACTAGGAAGATAGACGGTACGATACGTTATTTGAACGCGAATCTTCCGGACAAAATATACACGCTAATACGCGACACGTATTCACAGTACGTTTGCGAATCCGTCGGCGATACTTGTCTCGGAAATTCACCGCCCGCAATGACAATTAAGGCGTACTTTAAATCGATACGGTATTTGCTTTGGATCTACGCCGCTTCCGACTCGCACACACTTCACTCCGGTTGATCGCGCAAGAAAATCCGAGTTTGTCAGGATATTTGTCCTCGCGTCAGCTAATCGCCGTCGTTAGACGATAGCTGACGGTACACTGGCGGTACGCTACGCTAATCGCGGCACACGCAAACAATCACAATTTAACATAGAGAACGTCACGAAAATGCTACTTGGCGTGACACCGCTACTCCAGGGCTTGATCGTACTCAATTAACGCTTACTTTCCATGCACTTAACCTACAAACACTGCCACAAAGCCCCGTGAGGCTCGATTCTGACCGCTGTCGAGAACTCTAAATACGGGCGAAGGACGCGTCCTTGCCGTCATCAACAAAACGCAAAATACAACGACCAGCCTCGACACGAGACATGAGCAACGCGGATTTGTGGCTTACAAAAATGGAAACGGGCACTTCACCCTCGTTCGTTGTCCCGCGACATCAGCTTGTCTTCCTCGTCCTCGTCTGTACCCGGGGCTCAACCACCTGGAGTCGGACAAGGTCACCCTCTGTACTCGAGCACCACACCAGAGCACCAAGATCGCGACACGGGAGACTAAGTTCCTTGGCACGGTAATTTCTCGAACGCACGGGAGCCCGAAAAAGCGTCTCCGTATCGCACAGCTGATTGCGACCAAGAGAGCGATCATCCGGATCGATACGCGGTCGATACGCCGGATAGCGCTAGGGTCGCGTGAGGTAGGTCGAGTGGGCCACTCAGGTCGCGGGGTTGCGTGGCGCAGCTTGCAAGCTTGCTCTAGGCGGCAGGATCCGCGGGCCGCAAAATTCGAACGCTCGCAGGATCGTGATTGCTAACATGTCGTAGTGCGGATAAAGATGTCTTTGGACTAATTAGCGGCTCCTAATAAGCAGCAAGAAAGCCAGCAACTCTATATTTCAAGCCATGCAGCAACAAAAGAGCCATAAAGCACTGCAGCTCAGCGCAGGTTGGTCCGTTGGTGGTCTGTTCCGCCGTTCCGCTCGTTCCGCTTGGCTATCTCGCCTCACACTTGATGCGACTCTGACGTAAATAAGCAGCTTCTCCGTTCCGTCTCTTCTCTCTCTATATATATTCAGCAGCAGGTTGGCGAGGTTGAAAAGTCCCACGATGATGGTCGGAACGGTGAAGCGCCAATAGTACATACAACAAAAAATATAAAAATAAAACGCTATTCTAATCAGACGCATGGAAGCCCTGGAGAATCTTGACGCTTTCTCGAACGGCTCGCATTTTCGAGCTCCCGCAAAAAACTAATTTTTGTGGCAAAAGAGGAGCGGCGCGAATACCACGTCATAACACATGTTATTTGTCAAGGTTAAATATTAAGTAAATGGCCAATACTTTTACGTTTTGGAAAGAAAATAGGAAGGAAGAACAGTTACATTACGACGTAGTTGTGGACAACTGATTGCTACTAGTTAGTTCGTACGGCGCTCGTTGGCGCTACGAGCAACCGCCCCGCTTGCTCCTCGATCCCCGCGCCTATTCCGCGATTCAATGACGCGCTGTGTACCTTTCTTTTGGCTAATGGGGTGGTTAGAATGAAAATTAAGATATCTGCCAGAGAAAATCGGCTTGTGATACCACTCATAAATAAGTTTGTTGTTATACTTTAAAATAGTGATGTCCAAAAAATTCAGCACATCTCTACTTAACTCAATTAAAAACTGTAAACGGGGTGATAAGAATTGAACAGTTGGAGAATAGTATTGAGATGTTCTTTAGGAATTATTATGGCTCTATCATCCACGTATCTAACATAGAATGGTGGTGTAAAAAGGAGTGAGTTAATGTTGGTCAGCTTTAGATCTTGTAATACATCAGCCAAAATAGTGGAAAGCGGTGAGTCTATAGGAACAGCAAAGGTCTGTTTAAAAAATTTATTGTTAAATAAAAAATAGAGTAAGTAGAGTTAAAAACTAATTTTATAGCGTTAAAAACTTTTTCTTTCGGTATTGATGTGTTTTTGATTATAAGGCTCTATCGTTTCTCTAAACCACTGATTGCTAGGTCAAGCAAAATGTTAGTGAAAAGGGGGATGACATCTAACAAGTTCAGAAGTGTTATCAAAAGAGATCCCTGTAATCAATCCAGAAAGATGGCTAAATGTTTAATGTTGTTTTTTAAGTTGTTTTACTGAATTCGAAACACATCATTATTGCTTATATACATTATCGCTGAACAAAAAATAAGTGGGTGTCAAAACAAATTCAACTGCCTTCAAAAAATCAGAGAGAGCGATCTTTGTCTTGAGTCGAGACCTTTTACACCATCTTTCCCAAAATGCCGAATCATAGCCGAACATTACATTTTCGTAATTGTTAACAAAAATTTACTTGTCCTTCCAAGTTTTATCCACAATTCATGCAAAAAATTCTAAATGTCATTTCTTCGAGTACAATACTCGCCAAAAAGGTGCCTCTAAACTTAAATTTCCCTGATTGAGTTTTGCACGAATAAAATGTGAGGCATTATGTACCCCCGGGTTTACATATGCGGATAGTTAAATATATATGAGTTATTTAAGTGCATATGTGACTCGCTTTAAAATTTAACTTAAATACTAGACTGAGTGTCTTTCAAATGTTCTGTCTTTACGTCATCTAGTCTGTAAACGCCGATCGTTTAGATCTTTGGGGTCGGTTTTCTTCGTCGCCCAATTTCTCCAACTTCTTTCTTCTCCTGACCTTCGCCATTCCTCAAACTGATTCAACCGCGCAGCCATCCTTGATACTGTCTCATCAAAGATGCGGTCTGTTTCAAGGTCAGGTCGACTGGTTTCCATATCCGACGCGGTTTCATGTATCGCTCCTCTAGAAGGCTCCGGTCTGAAGGTCCATAATGGTTTTGCACAGTCAGAACATCATCCAGGCTGAGCGTAACAGGCCACTGTTTAATAGGCACGAACACGTACATTACCAAATCGTTGTGCGGACTGTGCTCTATTCCTATCGCATGTCCGATTTCATGAGTCAGCGTGTGCAACACATGATTCTTATTCCACGGATTTTCAGTGAGCTGCACGTGCCACTGTTCCGCATTGTCGATATGTACCTCAGATACATGTTCGAGATCTCCGTTGGAATAATACGCGTGAGCGAAAATTCCACCTCGACCATCACAGTCAAACGGGCACACACTATTTGAGTGACGCTTGTCCCACATAGCGTACCATCCACTTTTATACGAAATTACTATGGTAGAATTATGCATGCTGCGTGTAAAAGTGAGCAAAGGATTCGCTGCCCACAGAGCGAACGCTGCCTCCGCTACTTGTCGATTTGCTCTAGAAGCAAACAGAAAGTTCCATGGGTGCGTTTCGAGTTACGCATGAAACGCATAGAGTGCATTACTATTTTGCAGCGCTATAAAATCGTTTTGTCAATGCGCATAAAGCGCTTTGATAAATTGGAACGATTTCCTGTGCGCCTGTGCGTTTTAAGAGGATGCTAAACCGTCCTGTTTTACCCTCATGTCGTATTTGAAATTTTTTGTGAAAACTATAAATTGAAATAAAAATTGCTTCTCCAGAAATAAAGAAAATATAGTAAAAAATGGGATAAAGCCTAAAAATTTAAGAAGAACAAAAAAAAGTTTTAAGACTGTTATCACAGAACAACAGTTTTACTTTATATGCAAAATTGGCCATATAAATTCAGATAAAAATAACTTCATCCCAATCTAGAAACATAGACAAATATTTTGAGTGCTTCGAAAAAGATTTTGAAGCCTTGTGAGACAAGAAAAATTCCAAATACGATTAGTACAATTTTAGCAGAAACGCCAGTGTTTTTACACCCGTCATACACCATGTAAATCTTTTTGCTTACAATAGGCGTTATTTCGGGTGATNTATGACGTTCTAATATGCACTGTCAGTACTAAAAATCTATAGCATATGTGACGTAAAATATAGATATAGACTTTTATTATTGTCAGTGATTATCAGAAGGCAGCTATAGTAACCTAATTTATGTAGTGCTACACAAACAGTTTTATATGCGTGTATTGACGTCTATCTTATACCGAACAAACACATAACGGTTGACATGTGTTTTTATGTGGTAGGTTAGGTTAGGTTAGATGATGTTTATTGTTATTTTTTTTCTACGGAAGAATTAGATAAACTAAAACAATATAAAAAAAAGATAAAAAGGGATAAAAGTTATTTACTCACAGTGATAGATTGAGGGTTAGGTTTCAAGCACAAAATTGGGGAAAATAGGAAGAAACCAGAAAAGTGCATAGAAAGTGAGAATACATGAAAGATAATTACATACAGAGCGTGAAGAACAAGTAACTTTTGAAATATTTAAAATATTAAAATGCATAAAAATTTTAAATATAAATAAATACAAAAAAATAATGAAATATTTTATTTACTAATATTTTATTTACTTAGAAAATATTAAATAAACAATACAGAATAATGAATAAGTAATAAATCTACATTAAATATTACATTTACTAACTTTTTACAAAATAAAATAAATGTATATAAAACAAAACATATTACATTTAGCTCTCTTTTTCTCTTTCTCTCTCTCTCTCTCCTGCTCTTTATTTTACAACCTAAGAATATTTAGTTTAATAATACCAAGAAAAAGAAAACAATACAATACACATCAATGTAAAATATTTATTTTTCAAAAATATAACAATATTGTTCTTATATGTATTGTATTTTTTTCATATGTTGCCGACCATAAGATACATATAACATATAGATATTTCTTTCTTTTTGTTGTACGTACAAAAACACTTAATACAAAGTGCACAAGTACATTGGCAATTTATATTAAAACTTCAACATCTTTGAAATATTTTAATTATTTACTTTAAAATTAACTTGTTTAAGTAAATTATCTAGAAATTATCTTGTACAGTATAGATAATTCATATTTCTCAGACACACAATTAGATACATAAAGTTCAGGGTAAATAAGAATAAGTTGCTACATAAAAACGCTATTGCAAATCATGATTTATCTATGTCTCTTTTTTTCACAAGAAAACGTGAAATAAATATATTTTATTGTTCTAATTAGTAATACTGTGTTGTACAAGTACAGTTTCATAGATTATTGGAAACAATATTTATAAACCGTAATTGGAACGATAAGACTTATTAGATATTTATTACATGATGTTTTGTTAAAAAAAGTGACGAAGATAATTCATGATTCGCGACACCATTTTACGTTATAACCTTCTTTTATTTACTCTGAATTATATGTATCTACCTGTGCGTCTGAAAAATATGAATGTCTATACTGTAAAAGATAAACTACAGGCACAAATTTATTTCCAAAAGTTAATTTTAAAGTGACTATTTTTTAACATTTTTAAGATTCATAGATATAAATTGGAATCAATGTAATAGTACAGTTTCGGTTTTTTTTTTTTAATTTTTCTTGTAATTTTTTCAGATTCCTCAGTTTTTATCGAACTCCACGTCACCATGTAGCAAAACGAAACTGTACTATATATGTATATATATATATAACTTTGCTATTAGACATTTTCTTCAAAATGCATTTTAACTGAAGATATTAGGGGGGTCAATCCTTGTATGGTTTCAAGCAAGGAGTAAGATGATGACCTTGACTTTGATCTTGACCATGTCCTTTAAGGTCATTTCAAGGTCAACCTTATTTTTTTAAATAGAAATTTCTACATTTTATTGCATAGTTTTATAGCTTACCTCGAGAGCTTTCCAAAACGCTATAATAAAACAGTTTTTCATTAAGTACTTTTTGAGCTATAAAGGTTTGAAATTAACAATTTGTTAAGTGGCGTGTGATTCCGGCCACTTAAGGCAAGAGTGGCGTGTGGGTTCGGCCAGTTAAGACAAGAGCAGCGTGTGGGTCCGGCCAGTTAAGGCGAATTTTATTTTAATTGGTCAGCTTGGGCAAAATATTCAATTGTATCAAACAATTCACAACAAATGTTCAAATTATTGCCCTTCAATAGCCTGGCAATGTGCCAATCTGTTATTACCAGTGTAACGGAGTTGTGCTATGCGCGGCTTGCTCGGCCTTCCGCCTGCCGGACAGCTCGGTCAGACCAGGATTCGGAAAAGGGGAAGGGAAAGATTGCGACACGTTTGATTTATGCTGTAATAAACTAAGCTTATATTCTTGAGTAGGTAATGGTTTTACAAAAGTTAGGTAAGTAAAATACGCGGTCTTAGGATTGCTTCCACCGGGTAGAATCACGCGGGGCCTTCGCCCTTGCGATGTAACGGTTTCACGGTCGCTGATTAGTTCGCGCTAGCTTCTACGCACGGACGGTCGAATTGGTAACTTCTCTGCTACTGGAAGAGGAGACGCGAATATGTACATAGATGGGGTTCTTATTGACTACGAGGTGATGGGTGTCCGTCGGTGGACGCAGAATCGTCAGGTCGGTTTTGCGATTCCGGCGAGAGATGTTTCCAGAAGCCGTGAAAACGGCTGTGTCGGCGAGCCGCGAGAACGACTATTGATGAGCCGTGAGAACGGCTATCGGCGAGCCGATGAGGGCGGCTATCGGTGGTGCAGTGACAACGGCCGTTTTACTCCTTGGGGTTGTAGGGCCGTTGGAGAGGTTGCGCGTTGCTGCCGAGCCGGTGTCCGGCGTCGGTTTTCCCCCTTGGTCAAGACCTTAAGGGCCCGGGCGACTTTCCTCCACCTTGTCGTGGTGTCCGGGCTTAGGAGCGGTGAAGCGAGGGGGCTATACTGGCGGGGAATCCTTTGATTCCCTGGCAGGGTCACCCATGCCAGGAAGGCCCTTCGCGGAGCTCCTATACTAAGAGAGGAAATAGAGGAAGGAAAACCTCGAACAAAAACCGGGGGATCCCAGCCTCGCTTAGCACTTCTTGCCGGTGCAACTGGGATAGGGGAGTAAACCCTGACTGCAAATCCGGGGCGTCCGACTCCGTCAGCCACGGCGCAATCGGACTAGGGGAGTAAACCCTGACTACAAATCCGGGGTGTCCAGCTCCGAGAGGCGCTTTCGGGTCGGCCACTGGACTAGGGGAAGGAAAACCCTGACTACAAACCCGGGCAGGACGGGCTCGTGACCTTTGGCCGGGGACCGTCCTAGGAGAAGGAAAACTCCGAAATTAAACCACCCATATACATTATGGAAATGGACGACAAAAAGGGCGGATTATTACCGGACCAGGGTGAACGGACACCCAGGTCCCGGCAGTTCGGGGGTCAAGACCCTGCCCCCGTTCGGTCGTTATCCAGCGAAGGGTTGGCTGTCTCGTGCGCTGCAGGCGAGGCAGTCTCTATGGCTACTGCAAGCTCCCTGGGGGAAATTCCGTCTATAGATCTAGACGAGTATTTGGGCGATGATACGCCGACGGCACGGTCTCCGCGTGGGGAATCACCAGCGGTGACTTTTACGGAAGAGTATCAACTCCCGAGCAAGGAGAGGGCGTCGACCAGCAGACGCCAAACGCAGAGGGGCGCCGGGAGCCAGTCGGGGGGAAGCGGTGTTAGTAGCCGCCCCGGCCCGAAATTTACCAAGACTGGCCCGCTGCCGACAAAACCCGGCAAAAAGATGTCCTCCCCACTTTCATCCAAGGGGGGGAGAAAGAGTAAACCGGTCCGTGGGACCATGAAGAGGCGCCGACAAGCGGATCCTGAGGAGGAGTCGGAGGACTCCTTGGGATCCGACATGGATGTTCCGGGGGAGGAATATCGAGATCTGCCGCCGCAGAACATCGCGGCGAGGATGGGGGCACGCCTTGATGAGCTTTACCGTCTCCAAAAGATTAGCAAAAATCTGAAGGGGACGGTGAANCGAAACATCAAGACGTGCATCGTGGAGTTGCGGGCTCAACGAGATGCCCTGGTGGACTGTGTCCTGGATTGGGGGGACGAAACGGCCCTCCGTTTAAAGGCACAGGTCGCCGAGAGGGAGCGAGATGACCTCCTCCGGGAGAGAGCAACTATCTCTGCGGAACTTGAGGCACTGAGGTCGGAGATCAATGACCTCAAGGTGGAGAATGTCAATCTTCTCGTCAGTGTCTTAAGGTTGGAGGCGGACATTGGTCGGGCAGCTGTTTCCCGAGAAATGGCGACGGTTTCCGTTCAGACGGATGTTGCCCTGACGCGGGAGCAACTGGAGAAGGAGGCCGAGAGGAAAAAACCAACTATCCTGTCGGTGGAAGCAGTTCCGGCGGGGAGCAAGTCTTTACTGCCCGGAATCGTTCCTCCCCCTGCGAGTCGTAAGGAGAGGAAGAAAAGGGAGGCTCCGGGTCCGCCGGATATGGCCGTACCGGCCAAAATAGCATGGGACGAAGACCAGCCCAAGGATGAATTTAGCCGCCGGCTGCAGGAGCTCACAAAAAGTGTGGCTTTATTGCAGGAGCAGTTGGCGGCAGTAGTAAGGGGGGGCCCTCCTCATAGGGGGACTCCACCCACACAAACGGGGAGGAAAGACCCACCCCCGGCCCCCCGACAGCATAGCCCCGTAAGATCTGCTATGCCGGGGGGTGGAGAAGAGTTTCCACCCTTCACATGGGTGGAGGTAGTGCGTCGCGGTAGGCGCAAGGGCAAAGCCTCGGTGGAAGGACCGACGAAGGTTGGCGTCCCGGGTGCTTCGGCAGGGGTAGGTGGGGGGAGGGGGTCTCCTCCTCCTCCTCCTCCCCGGGCGGCACCGAGACAGNCAATGCGGCAGCGCCAACAGCCGCAGCGGCTAACACCGCCGCAGCAGCAACAACAACAACGGAGGCAACCGCAGNGGGTGAAACCTCCGAGAAGGAGGCCACCGAGGACGGCAGCAGTTGCCATTAGGTGCATTCCCGGCAAGGACAGCAGCCGGGAGTATGCGGACGCCATTCGTTTGGCGAGGGAGCAGGTGTCCCTAACGAAGATAGGGATTGGGGACATCCGCGTCCGTAAGGATATGGGGGGAGGCCTCCTTCTGGAAATTCCAGGGGAAGGAGGCAGTGAGAAGGCGGACCGCTTAGCAGAGGCGTTGTCGCCGGTCCTCTCTGGCAGGGCGGTGGTGTCCCGCCCTATGCGCAGGGGTGAAGTCCGGTTAACGGGGCTACATGCCTCCGTTAACCAGGACGACATCATTGCGGCAATGACGACGGGGGAGTTTGGGCCCTGCAGGGGAAGCGACATTTCCGTGGGGCCTATTGCCGAGGGCCGAAACCGTATGGGCTCGGCCTGGATAAGGTGCCCGGAGGCGGTGGCCATTAAATTGGCTGCTGTGGGGCGACTTCGGGTTGGCTGGTCCAGCGCCCGAGTCGTCCCACTTGAAGTGCGCCGACTCCAGTGCTATAGATGCCTGGAGTTCGGCCACGTACGGCAGTCCTGCCGTAACGAGAAGGACCGCACCCGCACCTGTTTCTGGTGCGGGAAGGAGGCTGATCACACGGCGCGCACCTGCACGGCTCCTGTGCGGTGCGTGCTGTGTGACAGCAGAGGCCTGTCCACCGGACACAGGATGGGAGGCCCATCCTGCCCTTCACGCCTGAAGGGCAGAAATGGTAAGAGAAACCCCCCGGAGCGGAGGACCGGGGTGGCTGCTTCGGCAGAAAGGATGGAGGTGGACCGCAATGATAATGCGTAGTATTCTACAAGTTAACGCAAATCATTGCGGTCCGGCACATGACCTGCTACGGCAGGTCATGTGCGAACGACGGGCGGCTCTCGCGACGGTCGCGGAGCCGTACTACACCGGGGAGGCTCCGGGCCGGGCGGTCGACCTGGATGGTGTGGCGGCGATTCAGTGGTCGCCCCGCGTGAGCCGCTCGATATGTGAAGTGGCGGAGAGGGGCCACGGTTTTGTGGCTGTGCGTTGGGGGGAGGTAGTGGTGTTTAGCTGCTACTTTTCCCCAAACGCAAGTAGGGCAGAGTTCCGCGAATCCCTCGATGCTCTCTCCGAGAGCATAGAGAGGGTGGGCGGGGAGTCCCACCTGGTGCTGGGCGACTTTAACGCCTGGTCCACACGGTGGGGCTCCGCCTCCACAAATGTGCGGGGGAGAGAGGTCGAGGGATGGGCTGATAGAGCCGGACTGTCCCTTCTTAACCGAGGAACGGTAGCAACATGCGTTCGGCACCAGGGGTCCTCCGTTGTGGACCTGTCCTGGGTGTCGGCGGCTGTGGCCCCGCTGATCCGGGGGTGGAGGGTCCTCCGCGAGGTGGAGACCCTGTCGGATCACCGTTACATCGGCATGTCCATGGTCGATGGGGAGGTGGGTGCCCGCCCGAGGAATCTTTTTCCTCGGTGGAAGCGGGACCCATGGGACATGGACATGTTCGATGCGGTGGTCCGGGGATCAGCGTGGGTTGTTGCCGCCGGGGACCGGGATGGGTCCTTGGCGGAGGAGGTTAAGTGGCTGGCCCGCGTGTGTGCGGACGCGTGTGATGCGTCAATGGCCCGCGCGGGTCGGCCGGGACTTCGCAGGGCCATGTACTGGTGGTCGGCGGAGATCGCGGATCTCAGGACCCGGTGCATGGTCCTGCGCCGGCGATACACCCGGGCACGAGGGCGTCGTCAGCGCGACCCGGATGCCGTGGAGGCCTCGCGCGTCCATCTGCGCGAGGCACAGCGTGCCCTCCGTCGAGCCATAGCGACGGCAAAGAGGGCGGCATGGAAGAACCTCACGGATACCTTGGATAGGGATCCGTGGGGTTTGGCATATCGGGTGGTGCTGGCACGCCTGAGACCATCCGGCCCGGGTGTTACGGAGTTGCTGCCGGTGGATGCGGTCCGGGAGTTGGTCCGGACTTTGTTTCCCCTCCGGGAGGAGGCCCGTCCGGGCCCTCCGGACCGCATACCGTGGCGGGAAGATTTCGCCGTGGGAGTTGATGAACTCCGCGAGGCAAGTCATCGCCTGCGGGGGCGGCGCACTGCCCCGGGCATGGACGGGATCACGTCCATTGCCTTGGCGCGGGTGGCATTCTTGGCCCCGGAGGTGTTACTGCGGTGTTACACGCGGTGCCTCCGGGAGGGGTGCTTCCCGCGGGCATGGAAGGGGGCCAGGTTGGTGCTGGTCCCCAAGGCATCCCGCCCGGGAGTTGCCTCCTCGTCCTATAGGCCGCTATGCCTCTTGGACGAGGTGGGCAAACTTTTTGAGCGGGTCTTGGTGACCCGCATCGAGGGGGTCGTTCGGAGAAACGGGGGCCTGTCCGACCGACAGTATGGGTTCCGACCGGCGCTCTCCACGTGCGACGCGGTGTTCCGCGTTCGGGAGATCGCCGGGGCCCATCTGGCTCGGGGGAGGACGTGTGTTGCGGTTAGCCTAGACATCCGCAACGCGTTTAACTCCTTGTCCTGGGGTGGCGTCCGGGCGGCTTTGCGGGATTGGGGGCTTCCCATATACCTGCGGGCCGTCCTGGACGACTACCTCTCAGACAGATACGTCTATTATCCCTGTCGGGATGGGGAGTTGAGGTCCCACGCCGTCACCTGCGGGGTGCCACAGGGCTCTGTCCTGGGGCCCCTGCTGTGGGACCTCACATACGACGCGGTGTTGCGGGTTCAGCTACCGCGGCACGTGGACGTCGTATGCTACGCCGACGACACACTTGTGTTAGCGGCGGGCTGCGACGTCCGGGAGGCGAGACTCCGAGCGACCCTCGCGGTGGCCGTAGTGTCGGATTTTATATCCACACTCGGCCTCGCCCTGGCCGCCCATAAGACCGAGGTGGTCCTGTTCCGCCCGCCGGGGGGACGGCCCGGGGAACCGGTGCAAATAGGGGTTGGGGAGGCCCAGGTGGTCTCGCGACCATCTATGAGGTACCTGGGTCTCCTTGTTGATGAGGAGTGGTCATGGAGGGACCACTTCGCATACGCGGCGGAGAAGGCCGGACGGATGGCGTCGGCGCTGTCCCGTCTGCTCCCGAACGTTCGGGGTCCTGGGGAGGCTGCGAGGCGGCTGTACCTGGGCGTCGTACATTCGGTTTTGATGTATGGCGCCCCGGTATGGTGGGAGGCACTCGGTCGGGGCCGTCTTGGGGCCCCGTTCAATCGGGTGCAGAGGGTGGTGGCTCAACGGGTGGCCCGGGCCTACCGTACGGTCGCGCTGGAGGCAGTGCGGGTGGTGGCCCGTGTTCCTCCAGCCGACCTGTTAGCTCGGCAGTACGCCGAGGTCTTCGTCAACATCCGCGAAAGTAGAGCCCGGGGCGTTGGGCCCCCCCCGGATGGTGGCGACGCCATCCGTCGTCGGGCGCATCGTCAAATGATGCGCAGGTGGAAGGAGAGGGTGGTTGCCCCCTCTCGATTTGGCACTAGGGTGCGAGAGGCCGTTGGCCCGGTGTTGGAGTCGTGGGTGGGTCGGAGACACGGGGAGGTCTCCTATCATCTCACCCAGATCCTCACCGGGCACGGTTGCTTTGGGGACTACCTTTGCCGCATAGGCAAGGTAGTTTCGCCAGCGTGTGCCCATTGTGGCGCCGCAATGGATTCCGCTCAGCACACGCTGGCGGACTGTCCCGCTTGGGACCGGGCACGGGCCGCCTTAACATCGGCGGCGGGCGGGGATCTTTCACTTCCGACGCTTGTGCGCCGGATGTTGGAAGATCCTGACGCGTGGCGGGCTGTGGTGCATTTCTGCACCACTGTAATGTCCGCCAAAGAGGATGAAGAGCGTGCCCGGCAGGGGCAGCCCCGTAGAAGGCCGAGGGGGGGCGATTAGCCTCTCCTTTTTCACTCTTTAGTGAGTGATATGCTTTGTCCCTGCCCCCGCTTCGACCGGCGCGGGAGCAGGAGTTCGCGCGTCTGGTTGGGTGATGGGTAGCGGACAAATAGCTGCAGGTGGAAAGAGCGGGGGCTCTTTTCCACCATTGCACGCAGCACTAGACACGATGGTCAGGGAGCGTGGTCCTCTCTGACCATCAAGAAAACCAAGAGGGTGGCGACACCTTGGCCGCCAATGCACTAGGGAGGGTTCCGAGAAGTATAGCCGCAAGGNTTTCCAGGGCCCTCCCTAGCAGTGCAGGAAGACCACCGGGGAGNTTTAGTTGGTATACCTCCCAATTAATTTGGGAGGGGAGTCCAACATAACCCTGGCCCCTCCCCCGAGGGGTCAGGGTATGCGTAATGCATTTCTCCCCGTAAAAAAAAAAAAAAGACCTTAAGAGGGGGACGATCGGTGTGCTTAGGTCCACGTCCCAAGCATGGTGGGTACGGGATCCTCCCGAGTCTACACCTCGGAGAGGAAGGACGGGTTCCCTCGAGTCAACTCCTAGGGAGGGAAACGGTCAAGAGTCTTTTTAAGTCAACACCTCGGAAGGGAGGATCGGTCTTAACCGAGTCAACACCTCGGGGGGATCATCGGCGTGCCCGAGTCAACTCCTCGGAGCACGAGACTAGGAGCTTGGGTATCCTCCCGAGTCAACACCTCGGCGAGGAAGGAAGTGGTGATGCCGAGTCAACACCTCGGTGATCGGACAGAGTCCCTTGAAGGGCGGGTTGTCGGTCCCGAGTTAGCACCTCGGTGGCCTAGGAATGCTTCCGAGTTAGCACCTCGGCAGCAGGAAAGATAGGAAAGAAATGGTCCTCGGACCAGTTTTCGACCGCTTTTTATACCCGGCGGGGCACTTAAGCTTCGTCCGGAGGGCGGTGTGCGGTGCGCGTTGCGCCGGCGCGGTCTGGCGCGGCGGCGCTCGTGGCCGCGGTGTGTTCGGTTTTGATAGACGGTCGGTTATGTTCGTGTAAAATGGCACGGGTGTAATCGGTACAGTACTTTATGTGGTCGGCGCGGTCGGAAATAATTATACAGTAAAATAGGATAAGATATAATATATTAATAATATAATAAAAAAATATAATAATAATAACAATGATAATAATGATAAAAATGATAATAATAATTGTAGTGACGGGTTTGCCCCGTCACACCAGCTAAACCCGCATTCCGGTACGTTTCCGGCAGTATTATTTCTATCTCTCGAGTTATTCTCCCTCTTAAATCATCTAAATCTTGAGGCTTGGTGGCATAAACTTTACTTTTCAAGTAACACCACAAAAAACGTCAAGTGGAGTCAAGTGCGGAGACCGAGGTGGCCATTCAGTATGACCTCTTTGCCTTATCCACCAGGTCCTGAAAGACCTCATTCAAATATTGACGGACAATGACACTATAATGAGGTGGAGCTCCTAACTCCACCTAACTATCCTGTTGGAAAGAAATTTCATCCATATTTCCACCAGCTATGTCTCGAATAGCTGGAACAATTTGTTCGCGAAGCATGACTGTGTATACCTGTGCTGTCAAATTGCCTTCAATGAAGAAAGGGCCAACTGGTTTACCATTAAAAATACCAGCCCATATGTTAACTTTTTGTGGATATTAACACTAGATATACCAGCTATTTAAATATAATTATAAAAAAATACAAAAAATATATTTGTTACAAATATATATAAAGTAACATTAAGTTCATAAAATGTATTCTCTACTTATAGCTACAAAAGTCATAACATCATTTCGGAAAACAAATGTTACATGCAATAGGAATTTTGAATTGAAATTGTACGACCAGTCAAAATAACTGGTCTGGTAAATCTAGTGTTAAGTATGATTGTCTCTTTTCCAGTGAGGATTCACGTCACTCCAGTACCTACAATTGTGTCTATTTGCATTTCCAGTCAGTTCAAATGTTGCCTCATTATATAAAACAATATTATTTAGTAATAGAGGATCGTCGACAATCATTTCCATCATAAGATGAAAAAATTTGATGCGTCTATCAAAATCGTCTTTAGACAACTCTTGGCACAAATGGAGTTTACATGGATGCCATGTATTCAATTTCAAAATTTTACTGACAGGTGCATGACCGATTTTGTGTTCTTGTGCAACGCGATTGATGGAAATATGGGGATTTTCAACGAAAGACTGTAAAACATCTAATGCCTTATCATTATATGTTGCTGTTTTACGTCTACCAGATTTTGAGCGGCTTTTACCGCTACTAATGTCCTCGAAACGTTGAATAGTACGGATTACAGTACTTTTAGAGATCCTATTATTTTCATTCCGAAAATTTTCATTAAATAATCGCGTTACTGTTTTATACCCTCTTTGTTGATCTCCCTATCTTCGCATCATTAACAGTGTTATTCGATCTTTTTCAGAAAGCTCCGGCATTCTTAATTAGAGCAAAGAAGAATTAACCAGGTAAGTGATAGGAAATTGATCTAAATAATTAAGTAGAGAAAAATACTAATTATTAAGTGTTGATCTAACTATTGATTTGGTTATTTCACCCAGCACTGACAAAAAGCTCGTTAAGCAACTGAAAATCTAATAAATCAATTAATAATTTTTTCGAAAAATTTCTGGGCTATTGGAAACACAATGAAGATGTTTGAAACAATCAATTGAAGCGCAATGGCTTCTTTTAGTACAGACAAAATTTTTGGGGCTGTTTGTTTTCGTCCACAAGGTAACTGCTGCTCGCTAAGAAGAAGACAGCACTGCATCAAAGATTACAATCAGTGATCCGTATTCTTTGCTCAAGAGCTTGTACATTGGTGCCTGCGAGAATGAGAGAATAAAAATGGGCCCCGCCAACGCTTTCGGGCAAATTCCCGCTAACGCCTTCGAACATCATTTAAGCAACTTTTTGCAATCACCTTCGAGCAGTTTTCCGCCGTAGCCTACTAGCATAACAGCGTGAAACCGTACAACTTTGCTATTGGACAATTTTTTCAAAATGCATTCTTACTAAAAATAGTTTGAGGATCCGACACTTTTTGATTAATGTATTTTCTTTAAACCAATTAATTGGTCTCATTATTCTGCGCTCAAAAGTATTAAGGTTATGATTACTAAAACCTAAATAAGTTTTTAGAAGATATTTTATATATTGTGTCAAAAAATTGTTAACTTCAAACCTTTATAACTCAAAAAGTACGTAATAAAAAAATGTTTTATTATAGGGTCTTGGAAAGCTCTCGAGATAAGCTATAAAAATATGCAAGAAAATGTAAAGGATTCTATCTAAAAAAATAAGGTTGACCTTGAAATGACTTTAAAGTACATGGTCAAGATCATAGTTAAGATCATTATCTTACTCCTCGCTTGAAACTATACAACTTTGCTATTAGACATTTTCTCCAAAATGCATTTTAATTGAAGATATTAGGGGGGTTCGATATTTTTCGATGACCCTGTATATAATCTTACCTTATCGATATGCGTTCGGCGCGAAGTATTATTGTCTATATGGCTGCGGCACAAATGTATACGACGCTATCGTCGTGAACGACGGCATAGACATTGGTATGGTCATGGGCATTGGCATTGGCATGGGCATGGGCATGGGCATGGGCACAGGCACAGGCATAGGCATGGTCGTCTGTGCGTATTGTGGCATGGTCGGCACTGAATAATTTTTTCTTTTTCCTGGCAAAGTTGTTTTTTTTAATAAACGTAGTTTTTTTCGTAGTGTTCTATTGAAACGCTGTAATAAAAGGATTAATATAATTGTATAATACATCATGTAATAAAGTATTATAAAAACAATGTCAAAAGTAATTGTTATATATTTCATTCCTTTTTATACTGTGAACAAGCACATATATACTCATACATTCATATGCACACGCTCAAAGAATTTACCTACAATACTGATTATCAAGCCTGAACATGTATCCGATTTGTCACACATATACATATATGTGTGTATGTGTGTGTAAGAAGTTAGATACATGTTCTGGCTTGACAATCAGTATTGTGTGTCAATTTTTTGTACAAGTGTGCATGCTTTACATATACAGGGTGCTTTCGTACACAGTGTACTACGTACACAGGCGACACTGTGTAACACAGTGTCCATTAGTGTGAGTGAGACACACTGATATGCTTTTTCTCACACTAATGGAGACAGTGTTACACAGTGTCGCCTGTGTATGTAGTTGGAAGGCACCCACACACAATGCACCGACACAGGATGCTTTCCAGCTACGTATACAGGCGACACTGTGTAACACAGTGTCCACTAGTGTGAGAAAGAGCATATCAATGTGTCTCACTCATACTAGTGGACACTGTGTTACACAGCGTCGCTTGTGTATGTAGCTGGAAAGTGCCCACACAATAGCAAACGAGACTGCACATGCTTCTAAGTTTTCACATATGTACTACTAAAACTAGATAAAAATTATATGTATTACTTACTGTTTTATTCTTGCGGTAACCAATCCTTTGTCCCGCTGCTGGTTCCAGTAATTGTCTGTCTGATAGTTGTCCATCGCGGATCAAGTCATCGCGGACCGAGTTCGATTGCGACCGTCCGCTACAGCTGCTTTGGTTTTATCACTATTCTCTAAAACAGAACAGAAATTATTATATTTATTGTATATATTAATATATATTCTTGGATACAATATATACTTACGTGACATATTTCGTCCTGTTCGTCCGTTACCTTTGTGGCTGTGGCTCTTGAAACAATTGACTGTGTCGATTACATGACACAATTCTAGTCATAAGATTAGTAGAAAATCACCCAATCACAGACTAGCATTTTAGCTAATGAAAGATATTGGTAGAGAATTAGTTGAATTGCTTATAACTTTCACATTATATATTTTCTGTGATTTTCAATACAGACAATATATAACAACAATTCCTGTAGAAAAGATGCTTCAACGCATCGCGGAACGCGCGGCTAAAAGCGACGCGACAGCCAATCAATATGCTGCTTTTTGATAAGAGCAAAATGCTAATTGGCTCTTTTGTTTCTTACCATGCATTACGTATTGACATGTTCTGTCTCTAACTCGAAAACGTCATACTATTTAATAATGTCATACAATTTTTGTATAAAAAATACTTTCTCTAATATATAATATTTACCCATATATATTATCATTCTCGCGCGATCAAAGAAGTGATCTGATTATTGGAAGCGCCAAGAGAACCACTTTGCGCGCTAAAGGCGTACATATCAAAAGCGCGCGCTCAATTGTTTATTGCGTGCATACTGTGCATCAAGGTTTCGTAGAATATCTACGATACTTTGATTTGAGTGTGCATATTATATATTTATTAAATATTTATCTGACGTTATCATATATATATATATATATATAACAAAACACGTGGAAAAGTGTAAAAATATTCTTAGTGACAATTGTTACACACGAAGTAAACTATATCGTTTTTTTTTAACCTAAACATTCAGTTTTTGTGTGTGAAATGGGACGTATTAGCTTGACTGCAAAAAGATATCCTTCACAAAATCAGTCTCAGAAGAACAAATAGGTCTACAGGTAAGATTGTTTCAGATTATTATTGTCTCCGATAAGAAGCACATATCAATTAGAACTGACATTATCGTTCGTGAGCAGATAAAGGGAGTTAAAAAACTTTTACTTTTACAATAAATAACAAGTTCTTTTATTAATAAAGATTTTTGAATATGCGTGCATATTCCACGTGCCAAAGATCAGTGTTTCGCGCACTCACGGTTGTTACGCAACAACATAATAAGACGAGCTAATATAACAATATATAATATACAGGGTGTGCCGTAATTGCCGTACAATCTTTCGTAGACAGGTAGGAGTAAAACTGAGTCAAAAAGTCCTGATTCATTTTCTTCTATTACATGTAAAAAAGAAGTAATTATAAAGTAAATCAGGCCAATCAGCGCCGATCTTTAGCCAGGCGCACGTCAGTGAGCCGCGCTGAGCGCTCACGCACACTACCAGGCGCGCGGTTCACTGACGTGCGCCTGGCTAAAGGTCGGCGCTGATTGGTCTGATTTACTCTATAATTACTCTTTTATTATAAGTAATACATAAAAATGGTTCAGGACTTTTCGACTCAGTTTTACTCTTTCTATTAGTCTACAAAAAATTGTAGGGCAATTACGGCACACCCTGTATATACATATAACAACATATAATATATATGTATACATGTTACATTCGTCGTATATTGCATTAAATGTTATATTTAACTGCGAATAATCGCAAAAACATGGATCTCGCGTTGTTTTTTACTTTTTAAAAAAAGGTAAAAACAGGCGCCAAGTACACGCACAACACGTATTGTATTTAAATTAAATTATTTTTTTATTTATACTCCAAAAACTTCTTTCTCTATAAAACCTGTTTTACAACATTTATATACTACAAAACATTTTTTCTCTAAAAACCCGTTTTACATAAAAAGTGATATCACAAAGTAGCACCAAATAAATTTTGTAAGTTACTTTTGTACATTATTATCCTAATCTACGTATATATAACTATTTTGTTAAGTTTTCGTTACGGAAACAATTTTGAAAGAAAGAATTGTCTGGGCCTATTAAATTAACAAAAGGATTTGTAGTG